AAGCATCTTCGGACCGCAGTGCCATGCGGCGCACGAACGCAAGCACGAAAACATGGGAGCCAAGTGCTTTACCGGCTCACTTTATATGCATGTTCATAATACTATAGGAGCTGTCCATGAGCCTTTGAGCTTTTCAAAACGACAAAAAAGGAGTTTTATTAATGCACCAACTAACGTCGGCTCCCAGGAATAGAGCGGATGGGGCATTTCGATCACTGACGTGATGCGGTTGATCAATGATCAGCTGATGTCCACGCGCTCAAGAAGCTAATCACTGATGTCCTATTCACAACTGACTGCGCCGCGTCAGTAGCCTTAATGCCCCGCCTGCTCTATACCTAAGGGTCGCGACAAAAGCTTGGTATTAGATTTCGTTGAAGCTGCAGACAAAAACTTCCGCAGACCTATTTCTTCCAAATTTCCCGACTTACAAAATCTTTAGCTGATTCTGTCTCATTAAGATTTACACTCTTTAGTAGGAGGTAGTACAGCACAATATAAGAACTCCACAAATAACAAAAAGCCTAATGCAGAAGATGCTCAATAAACCGAAAATCGCGCCACTCGACATCACCCAAAACAGGCTAACATAAGCCAAATCTCAGCACTTCGTAAAAGCACTTTGAGAGCCTTTTGCTATGTACTTTTAAATTTCAAGAGCGCGAAACTAACCAGTTGCAGCCGTAACAAATGTGGTTTTTGCAGGAAGCATTTCGATGATTCGTCGCAATACCACAGATTTTCCTGTGCCAGCACTTCCAGTAAAGAAAACATTTTGGCGTGATTGTAAAACACATCTAACAACGGCACGTTGCTCATCGGACAAATGCATGCTTGTGAAAGTTTTGCTAGGAAGGGTCTGAACAAACAAAATTGACTGTTTTTTTTTTCTGCTACAAATCTCGAAATGTTTACCTTATTCAAAGGCTTACGGGCAGCTTTTGGTGTAGTTGATAACGTACAAACACGTCGTGATGGAGTTCCTTTTGGAGAATCACATAACGGGGAATCAGCAACTCCACGCAATCTCAAAAATGTGAACCGCTCCTCCAATAATGAAGCTAAGATACTAAGATACAAAGAATTTGGTCAAGCGTTTTTGTTTATTTTTCTTGTGAAGTTAAGCTTTCGTAAGAATTTGAAGATGATATTGGTAACGATAGGTAGATAGATTCAAACATGA